ACTTACGAAAGAAATTGAAGAAGTAATAGAGAATCACTCCATGGACTGGAAGAACAAATATTGTTAAAATGTCTATACTACCCAAAGCAATCTACGTGTTCAATGCAATTCCTATCAAAATAACATCAGCATTTTTTTTAACATTTATTTATTTTTGAGAGAGAGAGAGAGTGAGAGGGAGCAGGGGAGGGGCAAAGAGAGGGAGAGAGAAGATCTGAAACAGGTGCTGCGCTATCAGCTAAGAGCCCAACACGGGGCTCAAATAATGAACCATGAGATCATGACCTGAGCCAAAGTTGGACACTTAACTGACTGAGCCACTCAGGCGCCCCAACACCAGCATTCTTCACAGAGCTAGAAAAAGCAATTCTGAAATTTGTACAGAACCTGAAAAGACTCCAAATAGCCCAAATAATGTTGAAAAAGAAAAGCAAAGCTGGAGGTATCACAATTCTAGACTTCAAGCTGTATTACAAAGCTGTAATCATCAAGACAGGATGGTACTGGCACAAAAACACATACATCAATGGAACAGAATAGGGAACCAAGAAATGGACCCACAAACATATGGCCAACTAATCTTTGACACAGCAGGAAAGAATATCCAATGGAAAAAAAAAGACAGTCTCTTCAGCAAATGGTGCTGGGAAAAGTGGACAGTGACATGCAGAAGAATGAACCTGGACCACTTTCTTACACCACAGACAAAAATAAACTCAAAATGGATGAAAGACCTAGCTGTGGGACAGGAAGCCATCAAAATCCTAGAGGAGAAAACAGGCAACAACCTCTTGGATCTCAGCCACAGCAAATTCTTATTAGACATATATCCAGAGGCAAGGGAAACAAAGCAAAAATGAACTATTGAGATCTCATTAAGATAAAAAGTTTGCACAGCAAAGGAAACAATCAGCAAAACTAAAAGGTAACTGATGGAATGGGAGAAAGTATTTGCAAATGACATATTGGTTAAAGGGTTAGTATCAAAAATCTATAAAGAATTTATCAAACTCAACACCCAAAGAACAAATAATCCAGTGAAGAAATGGGCAAAAGACATGAATACACACTTTTCCAAAGAAGACATCCAGCTGGCTAACAGACACATGAAAAAATGCTCAACATCATTCATTATCAGGGAATTACAACTCAAAATCACAATTAGGTACCATCTCACAGGTGTCAGAATGCCTAAAATTAATAATTCAAGCAGCAGCAGATGTCCGTGAGGATGCGGAGGAAGGGGAACACTCTTACACTGCTGGTGGAAATGCAAACCGGTGCAGCCAGTCTGCAAAACAGTATGAAGTTTCCTCAAAAAAATTAAAAATA